AAGAGGCCCTGCAAGCCTCTGTGGTGGATAGTGATACAATTGATACAAGTTGAGGGCCAATAATCTGCCCTCTGCCTCGGAACCAACCCCCCCATCCCCGTGTGCCCAGCCATCTTTTCTGCTAATGTAAGTGTTAAAAAACCTAATTTTATTGATATTTCTCTTAATTATTAACTGTGTGTGCATACCATCATAAAATTAAGAAGTTATTTTTAATACAACGTAGGTATTGTGTCTGAAAAAGTGGAGTCTGGGGGGTCGGCCCGGTCTCTATTTCAATTAATCCCATATGTTATGTTGTTCACTTTACGCGTTTCTCGCTTTACGCGGGCCGACGTGGGTTCAATTGACCGCGTAAAGTGAGGGTTCACTGTATTTACCTAGTGTTCAAGACAGACATTGTGGTAAGCAGGAGTGAAGGCGATAAGCCTATCAGCTGTTTGACCTTTGTAAAATGATTCATGGTGTTGAGTGTAGGATTCTTTTTTCAGGAAAGTTGATGCTTTTAGGATAATATTCTATCAACCTGGCACCAAATTAACTTAAATGATATGAGAATTATGGTGAAATTGCATAAAGACGTGTTAAAGGGATCTTGGGGGAGAGAGGGGGAGGGAGCCACCCACACGAGCTACCCCCACCTCCCCACTCCTCTGCCTGATGCTCCCAGATATACACTCATCTTCCACATGCAATATACCACTACACTTACTTGTTCTTATTTTTATCTTTATTGTACTGTATACAGTTTTCTCTTTATTCATTAGACAAATTCTGTGGTTACTTACATATTACATTTTACAGTAAATAACAATCATCTCGGCCCCTATGGAAGGAATTCCAGGAGAATAGTGGTTCACTGACATGCTGTGGTTGTTAGAGTTAGAGTCAGGCCAGGAATTTTTGGGGATTGATGCCATAAAATATTTAACAGGCATTCAGAAGACAGTAAATTTACCTAGGACTTTGAGAAAACAGTCGTGATTGGGTATTGGATTGGCCCTCTGAATTGCCAGTTAACTTTCTAAAAAAGAAAAAAATGTATTCGGTCTTATTTCTAATAAAATAAATTACGTTAAATTAAAGGCAGTGTCACACTAACAATTTTTGCAGAAATTCTCCCATTTTCTGATGTTTTATTCAAGAGTTGTTATCTTTAGTAAAGTGTATCATTCAAATGAAATACTGTATATTGTATCTGCCTGATTGGCTTGCACCAGTTTCATGCTCAAATCAAGATTCACACTAGATAATGAGGATATTTGTATAAAATAAAATATAAAGACACAAAAAATTACTAACGTTAATTCTAAAAGTATTTAGTATCAACTTTTAATAATTCTTTAAGAGTACATTATTTAATGGTGTTGATATTCCAAAATACATCTGACATGCTTGTTTACATGAGACGTGCCTGGGTTTACAGTTGATGAGCAAAGAATGACTGGATATGACAATCCTTGTAAATTGATGCAAAAAGTGCAAGTGTGAAGCTGCCTGAATTCTCCCTAACTTACATAATAATCATTAACATGAGTTCACCCAGTCTTTGATAAATGAAATGATATATATTGTACTGCTTCCTTAAAGCTGCAGTCACACTAGAGTTTTCCGTGCAATTAATCCACGATTGCATTTCATCTACAGGTAATAAGTCAACAGTAGGATCTGCACACTGGTCACACTGGCGAAAGGAACCATTGGCCAGGCGCCCAACTTGCGTGGCTAGTTTGAGCTCAGTTGGAGAGCAGGATGGCTTCATTATATGTTTCTATGGCAGCATTAACCGTAATTTGAGACTCTCTGCCCCAAGGAATACTAGCAGCATCCATCACGGGAATTTGGTGTGCATTTGTAGCGTCCAAGTGATGTTTCTTTACAAAAGTGATGAAAGTACTCTAAGAGTCAAATGAAATTCCCATTTTAATGTTTTCTTATTATTACAGCAAGTCCGCGCTTAACGTCGTCCCGTTGAACATTGTTTCGATACTACGTCGCTAAACTTTGGAGACCAAAAATTTGTTTCTCGTCCCGGTGATCCAACACAGGTGCTCCTCTACTTAAGAATGTTCAAGTTACAAACTTTCAGAGATACAAACATCATCACTGAGGGGGGTTACCTGCCAGAACAGGCATTTAATGTGGATGAAACTGGATTATTTTGAAGAAAATTCCAGAAAGAACAAATATTACCTCAGCGGAGAAGGGTGAGCCAGGTTTTAAGGCTGTATTAAAGGGTATAGCTGTACTAAATATCCATAATCTTTTCATTTTTTACAATATGTTTGGTATCTACAAGAGTAAAGTTGAACTTACAAACAAGCCTCAGGAACATAACTCGTTTGTAAGAGGAGCACCTGTACTACATCGTTTTGCGTCATCACGGACTACTTTCTACGGCGCATCACCCTCTCCCGTCTGGCCGCGCAACACTCTCTCGGCATGGCGCAGAGTCTACATGACTCATCACCCTCCTCCTCTCCCGCCCTCCTCCGCTCCCGCCATACTCCTCCCCTCCCGCCATCCGCCTCCTCTGCTTCACTACCCACCACACACTCGCTCTACCACCTCCACCCATCGGTGAGTACCAATACAAACTTAGTATTTGTATATGTATGCACTATTTTCTATAGAAATGGCAGTAATTTTATCTATATGTAATGTATTTCATGGGGTATAGGGAGGCTCAGGAACGTAACTCCCGTATTTTATCTATTTCTTATGGGGAAAATTGATCCACTTATCGTCATTTCGTATAACGTCGCATTTTTAGGAACGTAACCCTGACGTTAAGCAAGGACTTACTGTATTATATTTTATTTAGTATGAAATTTTGGCTCGTGTTTTGTTATTGAATTACACTTTTGATATTTTTTGTACATTTTAACATTAATAAGAAAAAATAAGAACGGTGTAAATTTTATTAATACTGTATGACAGACTCTATTGCAAATTTCAACCCACCGTACCATGGATTTCCAGTCGCTCCGTATCATCCCACTTTTGGCAACAAATAAGTTGTTGCTGAAGAAACAACTTGAGGAGTTCGTTGAAAAATCAACACTGGTGAATTTATTCTTGGTAGAAACTCCAGTGTGACTGCAGCTTAATTCTCATGAAGACAGAACCAAAATGAGATTATTGATAACCAAATATTTAGATGATTATTCATATCATACCACCTTTCTTTAAATAATAAAAGTAAAGGAAATATAAGCACAAACTAAAACTGTACCACAAGCCACACTTTGCGGTTCAACATTGTAATCAAACTGAGACTACTGTTTGGTGACGCATATTGCCCAAGCAATTATGGCCACCTTAATTCCTGGATCTTTCACCACCAAATTTCTTTCTAAGGCAATATTTGAATGCATGCTGTGAAGAGCAAGTTTGTGTAATAATAATAATAATAGCTGGTCTTTTGTTTCTCTATAAAATTCACTAAAGCTCAAAACACCACAAAGTCAAGGCTAACCCGAATATAAAAAACAAATACTACAAAAAGAAAGATTGCCAAAAGTGAGTTTGACTTGTATTCCTTGTATACAGTATCCATAAATTGTAATTTCTTAAACCCTATAATTCTCCATCATTTTCAGGATTATAAGCTTTCAAATATAGAAAGGTCTCAAGACGTTTCTTAATGGCCTCCACAGACATCAGCTACTTATGGACCCAGGCAATTGATTGTGCAATCTGGGTGCTGTATAAGAAAAGGATCTGGCAGGAAAGGCTCATTCCCGTACTGCTCTAGCCTCCTCAAGGCACGAGGGATCGTCACTACTATGCAATATCATTTCAGAATGTGTAATCAGAGGATTTAGCAGGTTGGCCAAATACTTAGGCTCACCAAACATAAGTGCCCTAAAAGTCATTAGGCAGAGTTTGAACTATATCCTATGTTTAATTGGAAGCCAATGCATTTCAATAAAGAATGGGGTAGTGGGAGCCCTCAGTGGGAGAGCAAAAATAAGCCTGGCAACCCTGTTCAAAACAGTTTGAACTTCTTCAGTTTATAATAAGGTAGGCAGACCCACAAAGTTACAATAGTCAAACCGAGACAAAATAAGTGAATGTAATAGAGTCATAAAACACTGTCTATCCAAAAATTGCTTTAAAATACAGTATATAGATTTCAAATAGGAAAGCTGCAACTCTTACCCTCTGAATCTATATGCTCTTAAAAAATCAGTTTTGAGTCAAAGTACACTACAAGATTACAAACAGAACTGACAGGAGAGAGTTGTACTTCCCCTAACTTTAAAAAGCAAAAATCATCTGTACTGTCACCCGTCCCATTTCCTCAGATGATGATGATCTCGATTTTATGATCATTCAGTTTTAATTTTTCTCCTAGCCTTACAAATCTTAACATCTTCTCAATATCCTCGACATTTATTATTTTCACATAAAGCTGTGTATTATCAGTACAGTAATGGTAGGCAACACCATGAGTATCCAGCCGAGATGCAAGACAACTGGTATAGACTAAACAAAAGAGGTCCCAAACTTGATTCCTGCGGGACCCAAACTGGAAAGGGTCGCCACAGCCCCATATGTGCCGAGTTACCAAGGTTTTACTGTACATGTACAGTATTTATTATTAGTTTTTTTTTTTACTATGTTACATGCACATTAAATCTTACTTAACAAATGTACCAAAAATATAGATACAGGTAAATAATTATCATAAGATTAAAAACATAAAGGAAATAAACTTGTGTGTGTTAGGAGGAGAGAGTGAGGGATCTTAGCTGTCTCCCATGTGTAGTGAAATTACAGTATTGACAAATTTAGTTGTCCAGCAGCCAAATGACAATACTCTACAGTATTTTTTTATTTAACTTATTTATTGTTATTCTATTTATTCTTCAAATTTACTGGTACTGTATATATCATTTTAAGAAAACTATGGCTACAGGAAGAAAATACACACAAAAGTGTCTATGGTATGTAATTCGTGCTTCAGAAATAGCCCTTATCACAATTAAGTTTACCTGAAAGTAGGCCTTCTGTTAGGAGTCTCATGCCAACACTCTACCATGAGGGCATAGATGCGTGGTGGACAATCTTCAGGACATGGCAGAAGATGGCGTGATCGGATCATATCTATCACCTCTTGGTTATTATATCCATAATAAGGCTGAAACAAGAAGGTTCACCCATTAGTTCTCTTTTTAATATTATTATATTCAAGCAACCTATAATTATCTGTATTGGAGAATGCCTTATACAGTCGGCCCTTAACATTCGCGGGGGTTAGGTAACAGAGATACCCGTGAATGTTAAAAATCCGTGTACTATTGCTGCCCCCCCCCCTAAAAAATCCCTGGCCCCCATGTCCTTATTTACCGTATATACCTGTGTGTAGTTCGAGTTTTTAAGACCAAATTATTTGGCAAAAATTGGGGGTCGACCTCTAAACGGGTAATAGTTTCGTTAGGTTGAAAAATATTTACCAGTAACTACCAGTAAACAATGGAAACAATGCACCAACACACCACCAGCTGTGAGTGTCGGTACAGTTGCCAGGGCAGATCTCTTGCGAGCCCAAAGTAGCCAAATCCATGGTATGGTAGCACAGGACGATGTAAAACAAAGTATTCATTTATTAAAGTTAATTTATAGATACTGGACATAAATTTTTGTTCATTACATTTGAAACATCAATCTTTGTTAATTAAATTTGAAACAAGAGAAAATTACGATACTGGATTTTCATTAAAATATTACATCACAAGTATATTTTACCTTAACTGTGACTGAATGAATATATTCTCGATATAAATATGGAAATGTAATATTTTTGCTGGAATGATGTACATATTATAGTGGGAAGTGGGATAAAATCATGACGAAAGACTTTCGCTTTCTTTCGTTGTTCAAAATATTTTACCGTAATCGCTTTTCGAATGATTTTCAGTTAAAAAACTGTTGTACTCGTACTGTATTACAATAATATTCTATCCTATCATTAGCCTTATAATCCCACAACTGAAAACCATTCGAAAAGTGATTACGGTAACATCTTTTGAACGAAAGAAAGCGAAAGTCATTGCTTTCGTCACTTTCCACTGTAATACGTACATCATTTCAGCAAAAATATAACATTTCCATGTTCTCAGAAATAAATGGTAGTTTTGTTGAAACGTAATGTACAGTATTTAACATTAAAATGCAAAAATAGCTATAAAAACAATTAATACACCCGTAATGTACTGGCTGGCATCTCCACTCGTCCCTGCTCCCGCCAGTCACCTCCTCCCCGCTCTATCCCTCCGCCCCCTCCACATCGTCACTACTGTTGTATTACAATAATATTCTATCCTAATTGACTTGAATAAATACTACGATACCATATTTCTGAATATTTTCATTAAAATCCATCCAAGTCATTTTCCTTGCCATCGGCAGCACCAAACAGCTTCTCCCAGTCCTCTCCTTAAACAGGGCTAGAGGGTACGTGTTTTTCGAATCGTTTTCAATTAAAAAAATGTTACATCACACGTATATTTTACCTAAACTGCGCCTGAATGAATATATTTTTGGAAATAAATAGTAATTTTGCTGAAACGTGATGCATTTCAATGTAAAATAGGATAAAATACATGACGAAAACAAAAGACTTCACCTAACCTTCCAATGTTCAAGAGATGTTACTCGTTTTTTTAATAGTTTTCGGTTAAAATACTGTTATATTACAATGATATTATATTCATACTGTGCTTGATATACTACATTCACAGAAATGAAATATTTTTGCTGAAATGACGCAAGTATTACAGTGAAATGTGGGACAAAATCATGACGAAAACAATGACTTTCGCTTTCTTTCGTTCAAAAGATGTTACCGTAATCGCTTTTCGAATGGTTTTCAGTTAAAAAACTGTTGCATCACAAGTGAATTAGGATAGAATATTATTGTAATACAACAGTTTTTTAACTGAAAACCATTCGAAAAGCGATTACGGTAACATCTTTTGAGCGAAAGAAAGCGAGTCATTGCTTTCGTCACTTTCCACTGTAATACGTACGTCATTTCAGCAAAATATTACATTTCTATATTCTCAGAAATAAATAGTACTTTTGCTGAAACGTGATGTATTTCAATGTAAATTAGGATAAAATACATGACGAAAACAAGAGACTTTACCTAACCTTCCGATGTTCAAGATATGTTACTCGTTTTTTTAGTAGTTTTCGGTTAAAATACTCTTATATTAGTGATATTCTATTCATACTGTGCTTGATATAATATATTCACGGAAATGTAATATTTTTGCAACTACAATGCTGATGTCAACACAAGTGTGGTTACAGCGAGACTGACTGAGTGAGGGAGAGCTATGCATGTGTGTGTGAGGTTGCGGGAGCGTGCGGTGTCCCGTGTTCGGTGCCGCACGCAAGTTGAATGGTGCGCGATTTGAATGTACTTCAATTACTTCAATGTACAGAATATTCCTCTGGCGGGGCAATACGCGTATTTGCGAATCCGTGAATGCTAAACCCGCGTATGTGAAGGGCCGACTGTACTGTACTGTACTGTACTGAATATGATTTTTTTTTACTGAAAGTGAAATGTTTTTAAAGCTATTTCTTCAAAGTAAATTTCTGTTCAGGTATTAGTAAGCTTACCTGCAGACCATAGCTGAAGATCTCCCACAGAACAACACCAAAGCTCCAGACATCTGACTCTGTGGTAAACTTCCCATATAAGATGGACTCTGGTGGCATCCACCTCACTGGTAGGAGACTTTTGCTCTGAACTCTGCAATTTACAAATATTTGTCACAAAATAGCAGAACAAGGGAGAAAACAAATACTATATTGGTGCATCTATTAGTACACTCCCCACCCCCCCCTCCCCATCATTCCATAAACAAATGAGAGAAAACCAAATTAGAAAGTCGACATATAGGGTGAGTCAGGAAAGAGCAACCATAAAGACAAGATTTGGAATAGCAGAGAATCAATTTAGAAAAAAAATTCCAGTAGAGTCCTAGATTTTGTTAGAATGATTATAGCAGTTTGAGAAGATGATTAAGGGAGATGGATTGGCCATGATTAGGTGTACATAATATAACCTCCGAGACTGTCATGACCTCACAAAGAATACCATAGATACAGAGGGTGACCGGACTTTAATCAGGTGACACTGTAAAGAAGTTCTGTTCTCATTACATTTATAAACAGTGAGTTGCTCGAAGCATAAGAACTAAATAGTGTACATTGTGCAAACAAATATCAAGTAATAATGACTGCAAATTGATGAATAAAAAAAAAAAAAAAAAATGAAAAAAATTTCTAGTCAGAGCTACACCAAGCAAGACTTTAAATAATGCTGCATTCCAGATGCAAAAAAAAAAATAAATAAATAACAATAAAAAAAAATTGTTCCCTACACATTCATGGGACCCGACATGCTGACTGGCCTCTGTTTTCCATTGTCATGAGTATTTTTTCACCAATTACACCAACCAATATGTTTAACATCAAACGCAGGAAAATAATCAGAATAATTATTATTTTTTTATCATATTCGCCTTTTATCAGTTTACTAGCTGTTTAGGTGGTCTAACCAGTGTTAGTACAGGAGGAAACCAGGGACCGGGAAACCTGTGATGTTTGGTAGTGAGGGTCACACTGGATAACACCCTTCTCACGTGTGTCCAGGCTGAGGCTCGAACCCTTGACATATTGGCGAGAGTTATGCGCGTTATCGCTATACAAATTCAATTTAAAATCACCTCAAAAAATAAAAGGTGATTAACCAGTAAAGGACTTGAATGATTATAATCCTCCAATAAGAAATATCCCATGTGGGTTGAGACAGTTATTATTGTCCCTCCCTAAATCACCCTAGCTTTGTTCTGGATTGTTAGAGAACCATCTAGCTATTACTATTTCAGTGTTTGGCATCTCTCAAGGAAGCAGGGAGAAGAGTGTATGTGCGAATGTAGGTAACTTTGGCATTGCCCTAACTTCATCTCTCTCCAAGATTTTCGAAACTATCTTGAACTCCCATTTTCTCCGTCACCTTGAACGCCTTTCTCTTTTGAAGGATCACCAGTATGGCTTTCGCCAGGCGAGATCTACTGGTGATCTGCTCTCCTATTGCACCCATCTTTGGTCATCCTCTCTTAGGGATTATGGGGAAACTTATGTCGTGGTCCTTGACATCTCCAAAGCATTTGACAGGGAATGGCACAAGTCTTTGCTATCTAAACTTCCCTCTTTTGGTTTCTCTCCCCCACTTTGTTTTCTCATCTCTAGCTTCCTTGAGAACCGATCCATAGCAGTTGTTGTCGAGGGATCGATCTCTCGCTCTTTCTCTACCAGTAGTGGTGTCCCACAGAGTTATGTTCTTTCACCAACTCTCTTCCTTCTTTTTATCAATGATTTACTTCACACTACAACTAATTCTATCCATTCTTACGCTGATGATTCTACTCTTCACTCTTCTTCACATTTTCCCCTTCCTCCTAACTCTCAAACTAGATCTGTTTCTAGAACTGTTATCATTACTTCTATCAATGCAGATCTGTGCAGCATCTCTAAATGGGGAGGTTCAAACTTGGTTAAGTTCAATAGTAATAAAACTCAATATTTACCAATTACACTTTGTAAATTAGATGATCTCCCACCAATTACATTTCAGGATGCTATCATCCTGCCAAATTCTGAAATAAATATGTTAGGCCTCACCATTTCCTCCAATATGTCCTGTAAATCACACATCCTTAGTACAGTTATAGCTAAAGCTGCCTCCCGAAAGTTTGGAATGCTGTACAGATGCCGTAGCTACTTCATTCCTGAGCAGTTGCTCCAAGTATATAAGGGATTCATTCGTCCTAACTTGGAGTACTGCTTTCATATCTGGGGTGGCTCTTCTTCTGTCCAACTATTAGATAGGGTGGAATCAAAGGCATTTCGTCTTATTAACTCTCTTCCTTTAGTCGACAATCTCTCTTCCCTTTCTCTTCGCCGCAATGTTGCTTCACTCTCTCTTTTACAGGTACTTTAACGGGCAATGTTCGGTGGATTAAGCATCCTGTGTACCGCCGGCAAGGCCATGGGCTCATAACACAAGTCTTGCCCACAGTGCCCACCGTTTCTCTGTGGATGTCGGTCACACGAGAATAACCCGTTATAGTACCTCCTTCTTTCCTCACACAGCCAAACTGTGGAATGCTATGCCTTCTTCTGTGTTTCCATACTTATACAATCTGTCTCACTTTAAAAAGCTGGTTTTCCGCCATCTTCTTGGTGTAGATTAACACAGTACAGGTATAACCTTTTTCTTCTCTATTTTAAATTTCTGTTGAAAAATGCCTGATGCAGTGGTTTCATCAGCATAGGAATGAAGGCGCTAAACTTTTCAGTTGGAATTGTTATTCAGCAGGCCAAGAAGTTACACGAGGAACTTTGCAACATGAGTCCATGTAATCATTTGGACTGATTATCAAAATATATGCACAGTCGCCTTCAGGTGTAATGTTACCCCCTACCAAACCTTCCTTGCTCATGTGGCAGCGTCGCACTCTCGTTTGGCTAGGGAACTGAGTGATAGGGTTGTTTCTATTACTTGTTTTTGCCAGTATTTGTAGATTAAAAATCTAAAAAACAATAATCAATATACAGTAGTGTTATTTTACAACTATATTTTGCATTTGTAAAACCACACTGGATTATGTTCACTTTTGTTCACTGTACAATGGAATTTATTTTGATTCCCTAAGAAAGCATTCATAAAAGGATGACAAAGATAATCTTTTGAATTAGGAACCTTTCATATAGCGACAGATTAAGAAAACTGAGTATGCATTTTCTTGAAAGACAGAGGCAGGGGTTAAATGAAGGTGATATAACTAAGGTACTTTTACTATCTTATCAGGAGTTAGCATATAGCAACAGTTTTAAATTAAATAAATTTAGAATTAGGATGCAATTTGGTAAACATTGTTTCATCAAGTTTCAAATATGGTATAGGTTGGACAGATATAAGAGTTATAAGGGTTGGAAGTAATTAGGCCTAATGCATTTTCCTTTATTATTATGTTCTTATGCTAAAAAAAGGGTCCTAACACAAAAAGTGCCTGAGATACTTCCTGGACAAGCAAGCATTAAAGATGAAAACAAATTATCAATTACTTGGAGATGGATCAGGAGAGTGGGAGCACAAAAATGTGCAAGCAATCTCAAAGATGCTTTGTTTACTCACCTGTAATAATCAGAGGAATAGATGTCTCGAGACAGTCCAAAGTCTGAGATCTTGACGGTGAGATTCTCTCCCACAAGACAATTACGGGATGCAAGGTCACGGTGCACGTAATGATGACTAGCCAGGTATTCCATACCTAATGAGCAATACTAAGTTAATAGGCTGCTTAAATGATGGATAATGAATGCTTAGGATAGCAACTAGTAACTACTTTACATTCAATGTTAAAGCCTTATGTGCAATTTTCACACAGTCAGAGAATTAGCAGCCAATGGCAGATGAACTAGTATATAATATATGACAAGTATTACTTACTTTTAACAAAATAGCAGCACCTATAATCACATTCATCAAGATCGCTATGGGAAGAATGGTATACACTTCTCTACTATACATTCCAACAGAATATATAGTAAACTTTCTTTAATCCATAATAAAGGGGAGAGGGGGACGGTCTATCCAGTTTGGCCAAAATTCCATATTGGGCGGGGATCTGAATTGTCAATATATATATATACAGTCATGCGCCGGTTAACGTCCTAGATACGTTTTTGGAAACGTGACGTTAACCGAAATGGACGTTGTCTGATCATCACATAAACTTTGTCTTTATACTTATGTGTATGTGGAATACTATATACATACATATACACTCTTACTCTTAAATCCCTACTATAATGTGATACAGGTGATTAATTCTTATCTCTGGTGCAAAATACATGACTTTTATATTTAAATTATTCACTGTCTTACAAGGATTCTAGCAATGCTGGGCAGATGGGGGAGAAAGAGAGAGAGAGGGAGCGAGCGAGCGAGGGAGCGTGGGGGGGAGGGGAGCAGGATGTGAGGTAATACGTTTGACAGTTGGCGCCCAAGGTCTAACGTGTGTTTATTTATCGGTTCTGTGACTAAGCATTCTCTTATAAAAAGCCAGTGAAATGACCTGGGTGAATATAATTTATATTGCTGGGATTCTTGTAAGATAGTGATTAATTTGAATATAAACAAGCTATAATTTGCACTAGACATAACAATTTTAATACCGTAATCAAATTAGTACATGTACACACCAGCTTTGCACTAAGGTCATTAAAAATGACCTGTGCCTGAGTGGGTTAATGACCGTAAAAAAAAAAAAAATTATTTTACGTTTCTTTTAGTATGGCGAGTGCATGTAAATGGATGAAAATAAATGAAGAAACTTATGTAAATCTTCCCAAAAATACAGTTGAAAACCTTTATATTATAAAATGTACACTAATGTACTATAATTTTTATCTCTTGAGCAAAATATATGACGTTTATATTCAAATTAATCGCTGTCTTGTAAGGATTTCAGCAATGCAAATTATATTCTCCTATAGTCTGAGATATTATATGAAAATCTTAAGGCTTTAAACCCCCCACGCTCCCTCGCTTGATGCAGTAATTTCACCAATAAAATTTTAAGTTCACTAGGTGTAATTCAACTGGACTATTTTGGAAAAAAATGCCTCGCCGTACACACATTACAAGGAAGGAAACTTCTGGCCATAAGCCGATGAAAGACAGGCTTACCCCCCTTCTCTGTGCTAATGCTTCTGGTGACTGCAAGATAAAATCACTCCTTGTGTACCATGCAAAAAACCTCTGTGTCATTATTATGGAATAACGAAGTCTCTGGTGTACTCTAAGATTAAGAGAGAAAACGGACTCCTATGATGGGAGACACAAGCACTCACACATGCCACTCATACTGACAGACTTGACACTCACTCACTTGACAAGTTTTACCAACCATTAGTTGTGTACATTATCTAGTGACTTTAGTCAATATTGTACAGTAAAAGACTAAAAGTACACCGCAATACAGTGGTCCCTTGGTTAACAATGGACCTCTAAGTGCAAACCTGTACTGTACATGTACTAAATGATTACGGTACTAAAATTGTTATGTCTATTGCAAATATAGATTGTTTATACAGGTATTCAAATAAATCACTATCTTACAAGAATCCCAGCAATGTAAGTTATTTTCACCCAGGTCATTTGGGTGGCAAATTATGAGAAGAGCTTAGTCACTCTTAAGGAATGATAAATAAACACGCAGGCCTTCAGCGCCAACTGTCAAATCTTATCGCCTCACCTCCCGCTTCCCCTCCCCCCCCACGCGAGGGAGCGTGGGGGTTTTAGGCCTTAAGTTTTTCATATAATATCTCAGACTATAGGAGAATATAATTTGCATTGGTGAAATCCTTGCAAGACAGAGATTAATTTGAATATAAACCTCATATATTTTGCTCGAGATAAAAATTGTATTACATTAGTGCACATTTTAAAATATAAATTATTTCAACTGTATTTTTGGGTAGATTTACATAAATTTTTTCATTTATTTTCATCCATTTACATGCACACACCATACTAAAAGAAACGTAAAAGAAATAAATGACCTTAGTGCAAAGGTGGAGTGTACATGTACTAATTTGATTATGGTACTAAAATTGTTGTCTAGTGCAAATTATAGCATGTTTATATTAAAATTAATCACTATCTTACAAGAATCCCAGCAATGTAAATTATATTCACCCAGGTCATTTCACTGGCTTTTTATAAGAGAATGCTTAGTCACTTAAGAACTGATAAATAAACAAGCGTTAGACCTGCACCTGTGCCAAATGTCAAATGTACTACCTCACATCCTGCTCCCCTCCCCCCCACGCCCCCTCGCTCCCTCCCTCCCTCCCTCTCCCCCATCTCCCCAGCGTTGCTAGAATCCTTCTAAGACAGTGAATATTTTTAATATAAACTTCATGTATTTTGCACAAGAGATAAAAATTAATCACCTGTATCATATTACAGGAGTGATTTAAGAGTAAAAGTGTATATGTATGTATATAGTATTCCACATACACGTAAGTATAAATACAAAGTTTATGCGATGATCGGACAACGTCCATTTCGGTTAACGCCACGTTTCCAAGAACGTATCTAGGACGTTAACCGGCGCATGACTGTATCACGATTTGTCTCGGCCCTGAAAAAATCTGTACAGTATATGCACTCCCACTATACATATTTTTGCAATCTCTATTTGAGATCAATGAGAGAGTGAACACTTTTCACAATGCACTATGTATTTCTGCTGATAAACATTTTTCCTGTCAAACAAATTTCAAGTTGCACCCAAACTACTTTAGACCACAACACATTGCTACTATCAATGCCACTATCAAAAAGGGTTCATTGCATAGGTACAGTAATGTACTATTCTTTTGCAAACCCAGGGCGTCAGGTCAGGGACCTGACCTTCATATTGAGTAGCTTCTGTTGTGGGTAATTTTTATCCTGTGCTTTGTTTTATGAATAAAAACCCCAAAGTTATGAAATTTTTAATTACAGTACATAATTAATTTTTGTATCATTGAAAGATGCTAAAATGCTTATCTGGAAGCATCCCTAAGTTGGTTTGTCTGTCAGTGGTCAGGATTGTATGCAGTTTAGAGAGGAAACATGCATGGAAGCTACACCTGTGTCCGACCCTACATCCTCTCAAAGACAGAGAGACAGTTGGGGAAAATTTCGAGCGCTACACCCACCCACAAATTTAAACCTAAAAACGGTATACTAATGAGCTCGAAGCAGCTGGTAGAGTTCCGTTATTCTGGCAACACTGTGCAAGAGGGAGGGGGGATGACAAAGGTTTGTGGGGCGATGGTTGTCACCAAGTTTTGTACAGGAGAAAGTTGCCAAGAATTGCTTACCGGTATGCATAATGAGGATAAATGAAGGCAGAAGAGACCTAATATGCATTAAAAACAAGTGCTAGGAAATTGGAAACTTTTTGTATGAGTCAATTTTCATAATGGATTAAATGTTGTCAAATGTGCCCCAAAAATATGAAAATAGTAATGCAGCCTCTCTACCCCCTCGCCTCACTCAACTCCATACCCACTGTTACCAGATGATGGATTCTACCAGGTGAATTTTGATTCACTGATCTCTCACTGATGGGGCTCACATTTATGGGAGAGTGTAGCACCCGGAAATTTTTCCAGGTGTACTGTACAGCTGGCTTCTGTGCCAGTGTTCCCTATACAAAGGGAATCTACAAGAAGTTTCTGGAGTAAGATAAACAATACCACATGAATCACTATCGGCAGTGATATCTAAATTTACTTTTTTTTACTCTTTCTTAATCTATTTATGATGAGTTCTGTATTCATTTAATTATACATTGCGATGCCTTTTGTATTTTGCCTGGTTAATTTTTATTGAGTATGGTGTCATAAATCGGCCTCAGGAATGCATCCTTCACTTACCCTACTGAACTAAACTACATCTACGGGAAAATCGCTTGCACAATATAAATTTTTGTATTATAAATCCATCATACAAAATGCATCTTTTGTATAGTGAGGACTGCCTGTTTAAAACCTGAAACATGCAATTCATTAGTACATTTTCTACACAAAACTGTAAGTCTGTGGGCTGTGGAACATCAGTACAGTACAGTATATTTTCAAGACAAACTTTAGTTTTTAAATTTCAATCAACTGTTTTTACACTTTCATTCTTACTTCCACCTGAATAGAAACAAATTAATTATAGCCTTCACTAATATGCACTAACTATATACAGTCGAGTCTGGATTTACGCGGGTTTGGTTAACGCGTTTGGTCATTTACGCGGTGCCTTGCCAGAATCGAAATGCTTTAATTACTCTGTAAATTTGGTCATTACGCAGCGAGTCGCTGGAGGGTCCAGACGCGCCGCGCCATTTTGGATTCAAGCGGCCCAGGCGACCACAAGCAGCGCAAGTAAGGTTGCGCAGTATGTCACTGTTGCGTTATCGGTGACGTCATATGATGTATCGAACTGTGATTGGGCCACGCATCCTTACCACCCACGCATTCCCTCCGCCGCTAGCTGTGATTGGTCTAATGTAACATGACGTGCCCTGCCACCAGAGGGCAGAAGTCGCTGACCTAGCAGGGCCTGTCTCATTGCTCTCAGTCCGCGTATACAGTTTTCTCTTGTGCCCGCTATTCCCCTCACAACTCACAAAGGCTTCCGCGGGACTCCCACCACCAGAAAAAAACATTGACTTACCTGGACCAAGCCATGATAATGTGAAGGAAATCATCGAGTTGGGGGAGAAACTTAAGCTCATCCTTGACAACGACCCAGACAAGCATTGGTATGAAGTGTCTAGTAACCATCTGACGAAATTTATGGAGCCGTATATCCAGATCTATCTCAACAACATCAATGCTAGTCGTCAACGTAGTATTGAGGTCTTCCTCGCCCGAAACCCACCACAACCACAGCCAGCCCAAGTCAGTGATAGTGATATTGACAGTGAGGATATGGACTTTGAGAGGTTTGTCTGGGAGGCCCTGCAAACCTCTGCGAGCAGTGAAAGTGATTCACTGGAGGGCAACTAATCTGCCCTCTGCCTCGGAACCAGCCACCATTCACGTATGCCGACCCAACTCTTCTACTAACGTAAGTGTTAAACCTTGATTTTTCTTTTACCTGGTACAGTATATTATTCTCTTATTGATATTTATCTTCTATATTATGTGTGTGTGCATACCATCGTAAAATTAAGATACTATTTTTACTACAACGTACGTATTGTGTCGCAAAAAGTGGTGTTTGGGGGTCGGCCCAGTCTCTATTTCCATTAATCCCATGTTCTGTTATTTCATTTCGACATTTAAGCGGGCCTCCACGGGTTCAATTGACCGCGTAAATGCAGACACAATTGTACACATAATTTACAGTACAGTACAGGTACTATATTTACAGCCGCTAATGTTCATTCTCTCCCTCATTCTTTTTTTCCTCTACATACTTCATAGACTAGTAATGAATATTCTTTTTGCTTTTTAACTTTTTTTTATTGCCCTCTTCTAATATATCCAAAACTACTTTAGTAATTACAATTACCGGTACCTTATTATGGGTGAACAGTTCCTATTAAATCAAACTACTGTACTGTACTCACTCAACACTGGTGATTATAAGTGCAACAGATCTTGAAACAGCTCAAAATCATGTTTTTTTTACATATTCTACATGTATAATACTGTATTTATTTTTCAATGGAAATTTCGAATATGGTTGAATTCATCAAATGTATCTTACCAATATGAAATTTATTTGGGATTTTGATTTTTCAAAACAAAGACAAAACTTACCCGCAGCAATTTGTGTAGCAATCACAAGCATATCTGGTTGTTCCAGGACCACTTGAGACATGCCATCATCACTACAAGCCGAAACATCTGACCTCGGGGAATGGGCAATCAAAAATTCATGCAAATCACCCTGTTAAAAAGAAAATTTTCATTAGTACAACCATTTAATTAGCCTAAGAAAATAAAATCATAAAATTATATCATCCAAATCATCAACACAAAGAGTGAGCAAATTTTTTTTATCACATACAGGTATTCCTCACTATACAAACATTCGAGCTTCAAAAACTCACTTATATGAATCTCCTAAATTATCATTCCTTCTTCATATTATGAAAGCTTCCTCGCTTTTACCAATTTGGGCCACAGCAAAAATTCAAATCACATGCCCCCGAGAGTCAGCTGGGACAGCCATATCCCCCTAGTGCTCTCCCAACTAGACTGAGGTAGGAGTTATGTTATGATTATTTTCATATCGTAATTTCGGGTAGATAAAAAATTTTTTTTTTTTTAATCAGTTGCAGTTGCACACAATCCTACATACAGAATGTGGAAAAAAAGTAAAAGAAGTAACTATCACAAGGTAAAAAATATAAAGGGAGAAAACCTTTCTTTGTGTGTGAAAGCCGGAAGGGGAGCGTTGCTAAGGGTCAGGAGAGGGAGCATCCCCAGCTGAACTTGGTTGCTATGGTGAGACTTGAGGCCTGCCAGTGCCAATACAAATGGCGGCTGTGTTAAACTTTGATTTAGCTTTTCCTTAATGGTTTTAGCTGCGTATTTTCATCTAGATAGTATTTTATTAATGTTTCAATGTGGTAGGTAGTAAATTACAGTACAGAGTAGTTGTGTGCTATTATTATTGGTTAAGTAGTTTTTTGTTGTTGTTCAGTAACATAACCCATTCGTATAGCGAGTGATACCTGTACAGCATCCAAATAAATTTCTAAAAAGTTATGGGTAGGTAATAATTTACAGGGTATCTTGAAAAGGCATGAAGCATGAAACACATACCTGTGACATATGCTCAAATAACATGCACATTGGCTCCTCTTTCATAACTACTCCCAGCAGACAGACAATGTTCGGGTGCCGCAGGTCTGTCATGAGTTCTACCTCTCGGTGAAAATCCTGGCGAGTCTTAGCAGTAGCATTTTCCTTTAACGTCTTAATAGCTACTAGTACAGAGTTGCCATCAGGGCTCACTCCTTGAAGTTCTCCTTTATAAACTTTACCTGTCAATTCAAATGTATTAAATGAACAGAAAGAAAATGAGAATGATACTCTAAAAGAAATAATGTAACAAATTATTGCACAATAAAAATTAAACTAATGCAACTATCGTATATAAAACTCACCAAAGGCTCCTTCTCCCAGTTCCTGCATGAACCTAACATTGGCTAATGGAAACTCTCGGGCCCTCAGCTGCTGCTGCTGCTTAGGAAGGAGTGCATTTAGCTCTACAGTCTTGGCTTTGGGTGAAGGTTGCTTAGGTGACTTTGCTTTCCGTTTCAAACAGAGGGCAATGATCAATGTTAGTAAGACTGTGCCACTTACAATGGCTGCAATCAGTATGTAGACCCATGTGTTGTCACCTATGATGGAAATAATATAAGAATTAATAATAGATCCTAAAATCTTATTTGCTAGCCAAGCACAAATTGAGTGACTTACATATTACCAACACATATTAATCTAAAGGTTTCACATTTTGCATAACTTAGAAGCTTGGCATATTTCATATTCATATTCTACTGATATATTATTGGACTGCTTTAACTCAATAAAATATAAAACTTTATGGTAAACATATACAGTGACCCCTCGTTTAACGAACACCTCAGTTAACGTAATTTCGATTAACGAACTGCCTTCCATAAGGATCTTCAATTCGGTTAACGAAAAAAAATTCGGTTAACGAAGTTCTTACGAACCGACCTCAACATGTTTTTGCTTGCACTGACCGGGCAACCAGCTTTAGTATCAGTCCGCCAATACATTAATCGGTTCTAGGGCTTAAATTCCTTACTATTTTAGTAAATATCAAGAAGTTTATACTATTCAATTATTTTAAAATTTAATATTAAATTTTTTAGCCATTTTAACAATTTTTGAACATAATTGAAGGTAAAGTGACTAGTTTAATGCGCGGCATCCAGCCTCTTAACACAGCAAACAGGAGTCAGTCTTTCTCTGTTTTCACTGGAGGTAACATCTTGCTTGAGACTCTCTTCAACTAAACGCTTTTTTTCTGTGTTTCCAAGCAAATTATTGGTCATTTTGAAATATATTTTACATATTGACAATATATAATGCAGTGCAGTGATGATTTAAAGAAAATAATCTTGAATTACACCGAGAGCTAAAATTTTATGGGTGAAATGGCGTCATGGGGTGACTTCTCTTCCACCCCAATGCCTTCTCTTCTTCCTTCTCCTCCACCCCCATTCTAAATCCCATCATCATCATCATCATCCAGGAGCCTTCTACATACACACCTCAAAGTAAGTGAACTTTTCTACCATTTTTGTTGAATTTAGGAAATTTTCGGTGAGCTGGAACCAATTACCCAAAAACCCATTGAAACAATGGTTTCGGTTAACGAACTTTTCGGTTAACAAACGACCTTCTGGAACGGATTGAGTTCGTTAACGGAGGGGTCACTGTACAGTACTATAAATGTTATAAATCCAGGAAGAGGCCAAAGTTGAAGGTAAATACTACCAATGACAGAAAAATCTCTGAAGAAAACATATAACCGTACTCATATTATGTCACTGATCTATGATGCAATGAAAACTTTGAATATACAGTATGCGCTTTGTAGCAATTCTACAAAAATTGGAACATCCATGCATGTCACTTTAAAAGTGGTCTTCCGGCATCTTCGTGGTGTAGATTAACACAATATAACCTTTTTGTGCTCTATTTTCAATTTCTTTGGGTTTTTTTGCCATACAAATATATATATATATATATATATATATATATATATATATATATATATATATATATATATATATATATATATATATATATATATATAATATATATATATATATATATATATATATATATATATATATATATATATATATATATATATATATATACTGTATATATATATATATATATATATATATATATATATATATATATATATATATATATATATATATATATATATATATATATATATATATATATATATATATACATATATATATACAGTTGTACCCCACTTAACGAGGTCAATAGAACCCAGAGGGTCCCGTGTTAAGTGAAATCCGCGTTAAGTGAACAACAGAACATAAGGGATTAATTCCAATAGAAACCGGCCCGACCCCCAAACTCCACTTTTTGAAGGCACATAACTATGTTGTAGTAAAAATAACATCTTAATTTTATGATGGTACATGCACACAATTAATACTTAAGAGAAACAGAGAAATACAGTCGCCAAGTTAATGTCCATTCAAATAATGGACTCAACTCCCTCCCCCTCTTCTCACACTACACTGCCGGCTCTTCCCTCTGAGAAATTTTTGGGGGAAAACCACTAAATTTTAATAAATAATACCTCAAACTAAAGTTAGGATAATACAATTGACATTGCTGGATTCCTTGTAAGACCAGGAATATTTTGAATATAAATGTCATATATTTTGCACAAAAGATAACAGTTACCTAGAGAAAAAATTTTATCTAAAATTTGTATGTTTAATGCAAAATATATGATGTTTATATTCAAAATGATCACCAAATTATAAGAATTCCAGCAATGTAAATTATATTCTGACCGGGTAATTTGTATGAATTTTATGAGCTAAAAAAAATATCTTCAGTTAATAAAAAAAAAATAATCTTCACGACACTATCTGTCAATCAAAGTACCCCACCTTGCCTCCCCCCCCTCTTCCAACCGCACGGTCAGTCCCAACCCTCCCCCCCACCCCCCCACCAATCGTCCTTTCAAGAGTTTTTAACATTTAGTATTAAATAATACCTCAGATTAAAGTTAGGATAATATAATTGACATTGCTGGATTCCTTGTAAGACCATGAATATTTTGAATATAAATGTCATATATTTTGCACAAAAGATAACATAGTTACTCTGAGAAAAATTTTTATCTAAAATTTGTATGTCTAATGCAAAATATATGATGTTTATATTCAAAATGATCATCAAATTATAAAAATTCCAGCAATGTAAATTATATTCAGACCGGGTAATTTGTATGAATTTTATGAGCTAAAACAAATATCTTCAGTTAATAAAAAAAAAAAAATATTCTTCACGGGGTAACAGATGGTCGGTCGGTCCCTCCCTCCCCCACCAACCGTCCCAAGGAGATGTGTGGGAAAACCAGAATACTTAACTTTTTGTAATAAATAATACCTCAAACTAAAGTTAGGATAATATAATTGACATTGCTGGATTCCTTGTAAGACCAGGAATATTTTGAATGTCATATATTTTGCACAAAAGATAACATAGTTACTCTGAGAAAAATTTATATCTAAAATTTGTATGTCTAATGCAAAATATATGATGTTTATATTCAAAATGATCACCAAATTATAAGAATTCCAGCAATGTAAATTATATTCTGGCCGGGTAATTTGTATGAATTTTATGAGCTAAAACAGGCAGTCAGGCAGGTGGCTTAAATCTGGGTGGTTGCTCGAAATGGACACTTCCACTGCCAGATATGTGTAAGAAAAAAAATCCTGATAAGTGAATGTTCAGGCTTCATGCAATCATGTGATATGATAAATGCGTTATGAAACCAGGCGGGCACATTGTATATATATATATATATATATATATATATATATATATATATATATATATATATATATATATATATATATATATATACAGTCATGCGCCGGTTAACGTCCGACCGAACAACATCCGATCGCATATACGTCCGTATGGTGTGTGCATGTAAATGGATGAAAATAAATGAAGAAATCTATGTAAATCTACCTAAAAATACAGTTGAAAAACTTTTTTATAAAATGTACTACAGTACTGTACACTAATGTACAAAAATTTTTATCTCTTGAGCAAAATATATGACGTTTATATTCAAATTATTGGCTGTCTTGCAAGGATTCCAGCAATGCAAATTATAATCTCCTAACTTTAGTCTGAGATATTATATAAGATAAAAACTGTAAGCCTAAAAGCCTGGCTGGGGGGAGGGACTGACGCCGCCACCCAGCGAGGGGTTGGGGGGGTTGAGGTGATAAGTTTGAGGTGAAGGTCTCTGTGTGTTTATTTAACAGTCCTACTAAGCTTCTCTCATTTTAAAATGCCAGTGATATGACCTAGGAAGAATATAATTAACATTGCTGGGATTCTTGTAAGATACTGATTTATTTGAATATAAACATGTTGTAATTCGCACTAGACATAACAATTTTAGTACCGTAATCAAATTAGTACATGTGCACTCCAGCTTTGCACTAAGGTCATTTATTTCTTTTACGTTTCTTTTAGTATGGTGTGTGCATGTAAATGGATGAAAATAAATGAAGAAATTTATGTAAGTCTACCCAAAAATACAATTGAAAAACTTTTTATAAAATGTACTACAGTATTGTACACTAATGTACTACATTTTTTATATCTTGAGCAAAACATGACGCTTATATTTAAATTAATCTGTCTTGCAAGGATTTCAGCAATGCAAATTATATTATCCTAACTTTAGTCTGAGATATTATATAAAATAAACAAAGAAATCACCAATCTTTTGTCTGGGAACACGAGGGAGGTAACCAGGAGCGTGTGGGAAGAGGGGGGGAATGGGGGGGTGAGGTGACAGAATCTCTGGTGTTTGTTTGTTTATTCATTTGAGATAAGATTTGACAGTTGGCGCTGAAGGCCTGCCTTCGTGTTTATTTATCATAACTTAAGAGTGACTAAGCTCTTCTCATAATTTGCCACCCAAACGACCTGGGTGAATATAACTTTCATTGGTGGGATTTTTGTAAGATAGTAATTTATTTGAATACCTGTATAAACAAGCTATATTTGCAATAGACATAACAATTTTAGTACCGTAATCATTTAGTACATGTACAATACAGGTTTGCACTTAGGTCCATTGTTACTGTACAATATTGACTAAATTCACTAGATAACGTACGCCTGGCAGCACAATCTATAAGAATACGCGATGCATACGTGACTGTGCCCGCTATAGGGCCATTTAGGTTCGCTATGTCCCATTATTTGAATGTTTTTTTCAATTTAAATTTTAATTGTTTATTCCTTGATAGAGGAAGCGGGATCCTAGTGCTGTCACTTGGTACCCCTGTACCATAACACCAGAAGCAACTGGCCAGTTTCACAAGTATATACAATACAGTACAATCATCCCTTGGTTATCGCGCCTAATTGGGACACCGCCGATAACGAAAGTACAGAACCTGTGGGATTTATTCTGATTGGTTCCAGGCACCCAAGTTTCCCATTTTACAACCATTTAGACCCACTAAATACATATATATAATGTTATGGTAAATATCATAAACACACATAGGCATGGCTAGGTTTATTACAAAGTGATGAAAAGGGTACGCTTAATACTGTAGTCCACAAAACATGTAGACATACTGAAAAACTATTGAAATACAATACAGTATATAGTACAGTACTTCATACTTACTGCACATTTGAACTGCACACTCCTCCTTGGATACAGAGTGTTCAGTTGCCACAAAGCACCATGGTTGTGTCTCTGCTCCACCTGGGTTACGGCAGTAGTTATGGCCACCAATAAGTTCTGGATATTCAGCTGTTCGCATGTAAAGTTGATTCTGACTCCAAGGCTCACAAATTCGTCCAAAGACTGTATGGCTCTCTGTTCCACGGTAAGTCTCGCCATTTCCTAAGTAGCACTTTTCATCTGAAATAATAATACTTGTGCAGAAAAACTCATCCACATTAAGTTGAAATATTCAGAGACTGTACAAATTGAATACTGTATATACTGTATTGTCTTTCTATCTACTTATTATATTTCCTCCAATTCCATATGTGTGGGGTGGATCAAAGGAAACATGTTTCAAGAAAGAAGACAACTGCAAGACAAGTGTTAAAAGAACAAGTAGGTATACTCTCACCAAAAACTTCTCACACTCTATAAACACTATGCAATAGGGGGCAGTGAAATTTTGCTCAAAGCTGCACTCTTCAGGCATTGTTCCTTATACATATCTAAGACTCCATGCCAAATTTGAAGCTGATATGTCGAGGTTTAGTCTGCCGCATTTTCTACTGAAATTTTTAAATTTACCTACAGTACTAGCCAAACAGCCGCTGTGGCGGTGCAATGTCCTGTTCAGTGTTTATCAACTTTTTTTTCATATCTCTTATTTCATTTAAGTTGTCTTGTTGCAGATGAGTATGGTGCTATGTCTATATTGATTATCAGCCTTTTCTCATTTCATTTCTCAATGTTGTGTTACTGTACTGTAATGTAGGGGAGACCTGGGTAAGTTGGCCACTGCTTGTGACCGATACTTGATTAGTGATTATGCTGGAGCTGCCATTGCTACTGCCACCTTAACTGACTATGGCATTATCACAAAGGATGACAAGAGTCAGGTTATTGGACCACATAAGCTGCGGGATGCGAGACAAAAATACCGATTTAAGAGGCAAGAAATTGAGATGGCTAGTTTAGATAATTTGACGTCACTCTATTTTGATGGTAAGAAGACCGCCACTCGTGTGATGATAAAGAATGAGAAGACCGAGAAATGGAGTTCGAGGATGATGGTGAAAGATCATTATGTCATCATGGTTGAGCCTGGCAATGAATATCTCACACATGTGACTCCCAAGACTGGACACGGAAAGCAGATTGCCAAAACTATTCACGAGTTTCTGGTGGAGAAAAATCTAACCCAGCAGCCCATTGTGTGTGTTGGTTGTGATGGAACCAATGTAAATGTAGGATCAGAAAATGGAGTCATTCATCATCTTGAAATGTTACTTGGTCACCCGCTCCATTATTTCATATGTCAGCTTCACGGAAATGAGCTGCCTTTCCGCGCAGTATTTTATCACTATGATGGTAAACCAAGTGGTCCTGAGCATTGGCGTGGTCCCATTGGAAAGCAGATCAAGGAGTCTTTGTCTGAGCTTCCAGTTGTCGCCTTCCAGCCAGTCAGTTACCCTGATTTCCCTGTGTTTAATGATGAAGTGGAGAAAGATCTGTCCTGGGATCAGAAATACCTGTATAGGATTTGTAAAGGAGTTATCACAGGTGTTGTTGAAGATGACTTGGCTGCTATTGAGCCAGGTCCTCCCTGTGTGTCAAGGTGGAACACCTTATGGAGTAGAATCCTCAGGCTGTATGTAGCAACATCAAGACCCAGCCATGAGTTGAAAAGAATTGTCATTACAATAATAAAGTTTAGTGCTCCAATGTGGTTTTACATCAAGATACACCCTTACGTAACACACGGCTCAAGGAACGTATTCCAGTCCCTGCTATATATGAAACACCTGAATAGTGAGGAGGAGACGATAGTGAAGAAGGCTGTCCAGAGAAATGCATACTTCGCCCACACAGATCAAATTCTTCTTGGTATGTGTGCAGATGAGGACATGACTGTTAGAGAAAAAGCTGTCTCAATGATAAGAAAAATTAGAGAGGAGAATCAGCAAAAGGAAGAATGCACTGGCAGATCTGAAGAGGAGGAGGAAGATTCTGATGCTGCTGTTGACGAGAATTTGTTAAACTATACTGATGAGGAGGGTAAAGATGGAGATGGGAATGAGGATGTGCCTCCTGTAGTCAACATGAGAAAGGTGGTGACTCCGAAACTAAAGTGGCAAGCAAAAAACTATCATTCCATGATTAACTGGAGGAATGAACTCAAGACTGAGCCTCCTTACATTGCTTCTCTGTCAAATCTACAGGTTAATGACATTCTTGAGACACCATTAGTGGTGCCCAAGTGGCCAAACAGCACTCAGGCGGTCGAGAGAGGCATAAAAGTGATGACTGAAGCTTGCACTGAAGTGACGGGATACGAATCGAGAGATGGATATATTAGGCAAAGATTATTGTCTAGGAAAATGATGCCAAGGTTCCGCACAAAAAAGAATTTCAATATGAACTTGTAATCATTTTCTATACGGTGTACCTGTAAAATAACATGTGAATTAAATCGATGTCACCCATGTAAAATTTATCATTATCCTGGAAAACATTAAATGACACCTAATTTTTGGTATACTGTACACTAAAAGTTGACAAAAAGTCGTTCGCGATGCGGCAGGGTAAGTATGCATGAAATGGCATGAAATTTTGCACAGGTGTTTGTTACAGCCATACAAACGATGCCTGAAAAGTGCAGCCTGCAACTCAAATAAAAGTGTTTTTCCCTGCCCCCTACTATGCAATCTGTAAAAGGAACGAAGAATCTAAAACTATTCTGAGATGACGAGCCCCATTCTGCTCCTTCTCACATCCATCATGCCCAAGTGTTCGAGAAGATTTTGTTGAATGTACATGCCACACACAAAGTATATTTAAAGTAAGTCATCAACAAATAACACTCTTTGTAATCTCTAAACAGAAGACATTTTAACTAACCCTCAACAAGGGGTTCACTCTGCACTCCCAAACGAATGCAGGACAGATGATCGGGAGATGTGATCGGTGAAAGCTCCTCACATTCAGGAATTGGCAGCCGTTGTCCAATCAGTTGATGTTGTTTAGCAATAACATATTCCATTCTGCACACATCGTTTACCTTTAAGACATTACAGAGACACAAAAAGCACATGAGTTATGTACTACATATTTATTCTTACCATAATATACAGTATTACATTTCAATTTGCTAGATTTTTCTACTCTGCTTGGTTTATGAAAGTCCACTCTATCAAACTCCATCCTCTTACCAACTGTCTTCAACTTTTGTATTTTTTTATTCTACATGTTTTATCAAGTCCACTGCATCAGAACCCTTTCCTAACAGTTATCTTGAATCCCCTTTAATCTTATCTTTTGCAGTTCCTGTTTACTCTCTGCAAAATACATTGTACTGTATTAAATACATTGAGACATGTTACCAAAACCTAACGTGAAGCAAATTTATTACTAAACGCGGGATAACGAGGAATAATATTCCTAGCAGACCAAACTGTGAACTGTTATTGTTATTTTTTCAACTCATGGTTCTGGGTAGATTCTGTAAACTGTATGTATTTTCTTTTTTTTTACTATTAATGCACACACAATCATTCATACAGAATGTGCATAACAAATTGAAGAATTATTATACGGTAAAAAACATAGAGGGAATAACTCTTACATACGTGAATGGGAGTTAGCACACAAAGCAGGGGAAGGGGAGGGGAGGGGTAGCACTGTGGGGGTTTCCAGCTGTTTGCTGTCTCATGTCCTGTGTGTAGTGAAATGATTGGCAAATGGCAATGCAATACAGGGTATTTTTTTTTTTTATTCCTCATAGTATACATGCAACACAGTTCAGTCTGTGGCTGCTGTATCAAATAGGGGGGAGGGAGAGTGCAGTTGGCCACGGTTACAGCTCATTGTCTCATACACCTGTATACATACGTTCACTTCCCACACATCACATACACCCACACATGCTCAGTTTTATAATACATTTTCTTTATTTCTAAGCCACATTAGAGTATTATAATGATTTTTCCACAACTTTTATAGTTTTATTACCTGTAACAAAGGCAACAAGCCATCTTACAGGCCACCTCATCCCTAGTTTCCCCCATCATAGAAAGTTGCACATCGCTAAACCGAATTTTTACTAATCATTAAACAAGAAAGGGTGTTAAAAATTTTATATTGCTAAACTAAAATATTGTCAAGTGAATTAATGTTAAACAACCACTTCTATTCCCATGCTTTAAAATTGTCATTTAGTTCTTCATTTGCTCACATATACCTTACTACTGTAGTTAGTACTACTATTATAAAATACCTTCTGTTCATCAAACAACTTTCCTCCTACTTCATAAATCCTCAACACCACTTATGGACAGCAATAATAGATCCATCATAGTATAAGCCTTTCCAGATTCATAAATGCTGCCTGTGTACAGTTTCTTGTCTTTTTCTTAAGTATCTTTCTGTGAGCATCTTTACTGGATATCTTTTAGTCTATATAATGTCTACCAAAACTAAATACTCCGCCTTTCTCACCCATCCAACATTCATTTTCCTTATTCTATCAACTGCAACCCTATCACTATTTCCCTGTTATATTCAAAAGACTTATTCCTCTATTATTTTTTGCATTCTTCCTTCACCTTTATGCAACACGTCTCCCCTGGATTTTTCCATGTCCATTCCACACAGAAAAGATATTGATTCCTGCTTAATTGGTTAAGTACTGTACAATACTATACTCGACATACAAAGCACTTTTCTTATTATTATATTGAGTTTCTCCAATTCTCTACCCACAGTGACAAACAATTAATAGCTCTTAAATTTTAAAAACCAAAGGGTCAAAATAATTTGTAAAAATGAACTGAAAAATTTGCTATGCAAGGATAAAAAGTCATTTTTTTTTTTAAACATTTATGTTAAGGGAGTCTTGCCCCCCCTCCTCCCCTCCTACACACACAGGCACAAAAGCAATACTGTACAGATACTGGTTATTCCGGTAGGTTTTTTTTTTATTTATTGTAAAACCATACTTACCAGGATCTCACATTCTTCTCTACAAAGCTGTCTAGGTTCTGCTTCTGGCAAATTCTCATTACACAGAGGGAGTGCAGCGTAACACAATGACTTAATTGCATAGTCCTCACACTTTGCCGACAGGTCACTTATAGGGAAGAAAGAATTTGAGATTATTGATAATTTATGTATTTCCAGGGTAGCATAAAACATACATTTTCATGTACTATACTGTACAGTCATGTACTATACTTCAGTAGTATTTATATTGTACACTCTGCTCCCAAATTTAAACTAATACTACTGTACAATATAATAATTCTGTTCTGTACAGTAACTTCTAATTAGAAAAAATAAAAATTTTCAATACTTCTGTACCCCCAGATAGAAGTAACTCATTTAGCAGACTTAATCAGATCTTACTAAGATACAATATAGTACTCAATTAAACAATAATGTAAAGGTGTTACATTTTAGTACAGTACATTATACTATACTGGTACTGTACAGATACAGTATCCACACAACTCAGAATTATTAATGTTGAGGACCTAAATATAAGTAATTCTTTACCTCTAGATGAATACTTACTACTGTACCTTACACTGTATGAGTTGGAAAACAGAAGAGTTTTTAATTTGTAGTTAATGTAATTTTTTGGGACATACAGTACAAGCAGTTTTACTGCTTTGATGTAGAGTGGCCACAGATTATTGATCTCTTAATTATATGTATTAACCATTGAACAACTAGTGGATTACCCTATTTCCTGGTCTACTGACGAGTTCCTCCAATTGGGTGTGCTGTTTAGTACACATTTACTGCTGAATGTTCATGAAGAGACCCAGTATATGTACAGTACAGGCATATCTCTTTATAACACTTAAGACATGTTTCTGAGAAAAGGAGAGCTACAAGAAACAGCTCTATAAGAGGTCAGTAAAACATGGTTCCAAAGGACATACTTTCTTGATAGCACTATTTCTTACATATCCAGTACTTGTCTGAGCAAAACAATGTTGTTAAGGAAGTGGTGGATTGGGCAGAAGTCCTTACCTAGCTTACATTCTTGAGAATGGTTCAAATCACTAACATAGCCAAACCCAAGCTGCTATACTGTATACCACTATAAACATAGCTCACTCACCTCCACAGATATTGACCCACATTTTAACATCCAAATTTATATTTCTCCTTGGCTGCTTGGCCACATTACAGGGAGTAGAGTAATAACACTTGCAGGTCTTTTCTGGACATTATAGGTTTAAAGTAAATTAATAAAAGGCAGTACAGTACTATGGGAGTATGGTAAGTGTGCACTTATGGGAAGCTTTTTAAACTGGTGGAGGTGGATGTTGATTGACTAAGTGGTAATCGGTGTAAGCCACCTTCATTTACTGAGTGTTTGGCTTGAAGAAAAGACAAAAGATTTGGGTGCCACATGGTCTTGAACATAACTTTGGACTTTTAGATTTTTTTTTAATTCACAAGATTAATGAGCATTATAAAAAACAACATTCTGAGTGACATGCCTGTACATTACATGACTGTACAGTATACTGTAGTGTATATGTATGATGCTGCATCTATTTTCTGTCACAAGTAGAATGCCATAGTTATATGATGTACATTGTAAAGTACAGTACAATACTTTATTTCTGCTTGTAGTGTATAAAATTAAATTTACAAATCAATCAATAAGCATAAGAATAAGAAAAGATAATTAAATCCTGAAAGACCTGAAAATGGGCGAATAAATATCTGAGACAGTATCTGTCATAACTCAGGGTAAAAGCAATTTGTGATTCAAGTTTAAATAAAGCTCAGTACTGTACTGAACAAATTATAAGTATCGTAAAAGAGTAAAAACTTACTAAGAAGAAAGTCACCCCCATTTTAAAACTTTCTTTCCTCATGGGTGGACTTATAAAAACAGGCTGAAACTTTTAACTAAATCCAGTACTGTACAATTTATAACTAATTGTTCTTACCAATTATATTTGTTACTCATATACATGCACTTCCCTATTCACATCCTATAACACACATACAGTGATACTGTACTGCAATGTACAGTACAGTACTCGTAGTATTAGTAGGAACTGAACTATGCATAAATGCTTACTTAGAGTGACTGATGACTGTAATTGCCGTTGTAAGGCGCTTCTCCATGTCTGCCAAATGCCGAGCAGAGTAAATGTAGATGGATCGATTGGCAATGAAGCCACTGCATGTAGCACCTCTATATACCTATAAAAGCAAAATAATGTAATACGTATAATACTTTGTACTGTGAAAATCATGACAGGATATTGAAAGTTATGTCACTAAAATTTCCACTAGCAGTTTGTAGGAAAAGTTCCTTTAATAAAGGAATATATTGTACCTGTACGGTAAATGATATACAGTAAGGAAATCCTGTATATCCTGCAATGGCATTTTCGTAAATGTTGCAAGGTACAGTAGAATTTATCAAATGGTAATTTTTATATATCTGCTGTCTTTTGTGCGAGATGATTACTAATACTATATACCATACATTTAGAGTACCAATGTTGATTAAGAAGCAATGTAAATCTGTCTTCAAAATACTCAAATCTACATCTGTATTTTCTACAGAAAATGCCAATAAGAGTTGGTCAGCAATTACAGAGATCAAGTCATACAGTACCAACCTGGCAGTATCCTTGTCCCCCTTCCTTCTCTCTGCCAGTAGGAGGCATCACAGCTGGATAGCCTCCAATATTAGGCATATTGCCCACTCCAGGTAAGCCTGGTACAACACCTGGTAATCTGAAAATAATAAGATTACCAATCAATATAACAATTAAATAAATAAACAAATATTATGATGCATCAGAAATTAAATTTCTCTTCTAATCCTTGAAATACCATCCTCCATCCTTTTGTTTTACTGTAACAAATAACTTGAAGATAACCCCATTAACGGTGGAATGTACACAGGTTAAAGCCCCACTCTATTATAAAACACGGAGTACTAATATACAAAAACCATCTTGTCTTAAATCAACTTTGTAAAGTAAACAAAAAACTGAACACATGATGACTGATGACAAATACCATACCAGCAGTGTTACTCAACTTGCCAGAGCAATCTAATTGATGGTTGCCTTTAAAGGTTAATTGCCAGTGTTACAGTTCAGTGATCCCTCGGTTAACGAATTACCTTCCATGAGATTCTTCACTTCGCTTAACTAAAAAATTTCCGTTAATGATTCCTTACGAATTTTCCCAACATGTTTTCGCCTGATTTTGCGTGCTCACCAGCTGTAGTATTAGTCCGCCAATACAGTAATCGGTTTTAGGGCTTAAATTTGTTACCAATTGAGTAAATATCAAGAAGGTTGTATTATTCAATAATTTTCAAAGTCTTATATTAAAGTTTTTAGTAATGTTAACAATTATTTAACATAATTGAAGTACAGGGAACTAGTTTTTAGCGCACCAAACAGCCACTTGACTCACCCAAAATGGCGTCAGTGTGTGTCCCTGCTCAGTGGAGGAAGCTTCTTGCTTGAGACTCTCTTGAACATAAACTATTTTTACAGTACAATTAATGGTCATTCTGAAGTTTATTTTACATATTGACAATATATAATGCAGTGCAGTGTTGATTTAAAGAAAATAATCTTGAATTACACCAAGTGAACTAAAATTTTATGGGTGAAATGGCAGCATGGGGTGACTTCTCTTCCACCCAATGCCTTCTCTTCTCCCTTATCCTCCACCCCCATTCTAATTCCCATCATCATCATCATCATCATCATCATCAACCAGGAACCTTCTACTACATGCACACCTCAAAGTAAGTGTACTTTACTGGATTTATTTTTAGTTTGCATGCAATTTTCGGTGAGCTGGAACCAATTACCCAAAATCCCATTGAAACAATGGTTTCGGTTAACGAAATTTTTGGTTAACGAACGACCTTCTGGAACGAATTGTGTTCGTTAACCGAGGGACCACTGTACAACATTTTAATTTAATCTATCAATCCACTCACCATCATTAAAACATTACAGTAATGTACAGTGTATTTGCAAAATACCCTGTATTATACACTGTTCTCGTACATCTTTGGCTACTGTTAATACAATTATTACCCAAACACTGCAAGTGGATTGACACCTCCTTTGACATTTAACAAAAAATTTACAGACCTTGCAGTTTTTTATTTTTTTTAACTAATACTGTATTATGAAAGTATTTCAGTGGTGTCCATAATAGGGATAGATGCTCTCAGAAAGTTTTTTGTCCAGATGGTTGAAGTCCAAATAAATTCCTTTTACACCAGCAGTAGGTAGTAGAGAGGTACTACCACCTGGAAAGATATTGGAAGCATAATGTGTTGTCTAATGGTAGACCCTGCTGCCATGTGGCATCACGAAAATTGTGACCAAGTCCCAGGTTGCTGATCTGACTTTGTGCCTCATTTACACACAATTGCAGGGTCTCAATTGTTTCTCTTACTACTGACAACACAACATACATATATCGTTTTTCACTGTAGGTCTTTTTTTCAATTTTGTATTTCTTTATGGTTCTTTATTATTATTATTATTATTATTATTATTATTATTATTATTATACTACTATTTTTTTTTTATTTACAGTACTGAATTATAATTATTATAATTATTATTATTATTACATTTTCGCCCCCCAGGCCCCGATGCATGTCAGAGACCTGTGCCCGGGTGGGCTAATCCTCATAAAAAATAAATTGATGGCGAGTCCAGTAAAACTTCAGATTAGAGGATAAGCACTTCCTGTAGTTCACATCCTTCAAACTCTCTCAGTTCCTATCCATTTTTAAGTCCACCAAGGAATGAGAAAAATAAACTAGGTCACTGACTTCCTCCCCTTAATCATAAAACAGGAATTTCCTACATGAATCCATCTTTTGTATACTATACATCATCAATCAGTGATCTGCAAGATTCTAAATTAGCTAGGAAATCGATGACAGAGGTCCTTTTCAAAACATTTACCAAAACTGCATGTACACCAAAAGGAAGTACAGTGCTGTATCACTATACTGTACAGTACGTACAGTAATTCCAAAAGTTTTTTTTTTTTTTATATACTGTACTTCCCAAAGCTATACTAGACAGCATAATTTATCCAACTCCATTAATCTACTTGAAAATGAAGATTTTAGCAGGTAACCCCAAACTCACCTCTTTCCAGAAATATCATAGTGCAAATGTATGGTACGTATTTAAGTACAGGCTGTACCTCTCTAGTCCGGCATTCTGTGGTCCGGAAACTCCCGTGGTCCGGAACGATTCTAGTTTGTCCAATAGGTAGATAGGCAGCTTTTTTTTTTTTTTTTATCTGAATTATTATTATTATTACAGGAGTATTAAATTTTTGCCCCTCAGGCCCCAATGTGGGTCAGTGACCTATGCCCGGGTGGGCTAATCCCCTTAAAAAAAAAAAAAAGCCGCGGGAAATTAAGGTTTGTTTACATCCGGCAGTTCGGCTGCTCTCTCTCTCTCTCTCTGCTTGTCTATACAGAGTACAACATTTAACCCTTCAATATATATGAGCAGTAAATAAGTGTTGCTTTCATATTCTTATGTAGAGTAATGACGATATATTTTCACATGTGCGCACTTACATACGAGCAGTCTCACTTTTTTTTTACCATTAATGGTTAGCTACTTATATTGTTCCATTTATTAACATTAAATAACATTACAGGTACTTCAAGCAACCATATTCATTCTTTACATTAATTTTACTACAGCTAAACTCAGGGTCTTATTTTCTTCAGTTTTATATGTAGAACCAATCAGTCACTGGTTTCGTAAGCTTTAACATAAACAATGCCGGCAGCCGTCTCGTCTCCTCTAATATTCCACGTATTATTAATAAATTGTATTGTTAATTTTGCACACACGTACATCAAATTCAATAAAAACCAATTCAGAAACATTAATTAAAATATATATGAACAGTAAATAAGTGTTGCTTTCATATTCTTATGTAAAGTAATGACGATATGTTTTCACGTGTGAGCATGCGCACTTACATATGCGATCTCTCTTTTTCTTTACCATTATCGTTAGCTACTTCTATTGTTCCATTTATTAACATTAAATAACATTACTTAAAACAACCATATTAATTTTACTACAGCTACAACTAAGGTCTTATTTTCTTCAGTTTTATATGTAGAACCAGTCAGTCACTGGTTTTGTAATCAACGAAAACAATGCTGTGTCATTTCCTCATGTGTTTTAATGTTCTACGTATTATTAATGAATTGTATTGCTCATTTTGCACATATAAACATTAATTCAATAAAAAAGACATTCAGTAATAAACAATAATGAATCATTTGTACATAAGAGAAATGACCCTGTTTACACGATTATGCACGTCGTCTGCACGTTGGCGGGCCGTTCAAACCCGTCGAAATTCAAGTTTCCGCCGTCAAAATTTTTATTTATTTATTTTTTTGTGTGTTCCAATAAAATACATTAAGAATTAAAAACTCGCGAAATTTGAGAAGCTACTATACGACATTTAACCCTTCAATATGTCTTCAAAGAGACCATGACGCAGAGAAAGTGGTGCTAGTGCTTCCAGGCATAAGCACAAGTCACTATCTAACCAGGAAAAGGGTGAATTTCCATGGTCCGGCACCGGTCAGGTCCCGAGGTTGCCGGACTAGAGAGGTACAACCTGTACCACAATCCTCTATTTAAAGGATTAAAAAATAAAATAAAATAAATAATAATAATGTTTTATTTGTGCAGAGAGGCTTTTTGGGCTTTAGTAATTTATTGCAGAAAGGCTTAGAATAATTAAATTCCGGTACCTTAAAAAGTAACGTAAAATCCTTTGGGTTCATTGGAGTAATGATGGAAGTAAAGAGTTCCTTTTAGGATGTTTGTTAATATCACGTAAAAAATAATTCATGGTAAAAATATGATAATGTAGATTTAGAGAAGCAGCAGGAATTTAGATGATTTGCATCCAAACATCTGTAAATGATTAAAAAAGTTTTGATACAGGATAGCAACTAAAGAGATTCATCACCTGACCTGAATCCTCATTAGATGTCGAGACATCTGGGTGAAAAGTGTTTTAGTACTTGTAACAAAACTACACATGGCATTTTCTGCCAGGAAAGTGTGGCTTACCATTAATCATGATGTACCGTGAAAAAAACTGGGCTCAACAGGAGGGTGCTTAAGAGTACTGTAATACAGTAATAGAGAACATGAAAATGAAGAAAATTACGTACGTATATCTCCCCGAAATTATGAGTTGAAGAATAACATATTTCACAGCTAAGCCTACGCTCTGAGGGCTACTGGGTAGCGAGTCGGCCGGGTGACACCACTACAAAATTACGTGCCATCTCTATGGATATTATTCCTTGTAATCCCTTGTTTAAGATATTTCTCATTTCTGTTCGCTCAGCAATCAAATCACTTTGCGATCTGTTTTTCAGGAATGCATCCTGATTGCTAACGATGCATCCCTGTACAGTACCTGGATATATTACGAGGATAGGGGATTTTTTCTGGGTTTGAGATGTGAAATAACGAGTCATTCTGGAAAATACTTTAAAAATTCTAACCCAGAAAAATTTAAGGGACGGGGGATTTTTTTCCAGGTTTGATAGATGATGTACTGTAATGTGCAATTTCTGGAAATTCGGAGAAAATTTTCCCGGTACCCGGAAAATTCTGGGGGTGGGGGGATTTCTTTCTGGGATTGAGAGAGTTATCTTGTTACCAGGAAATCCCTCTTCC